CTATCGCGTTGAACTCTTAAAGGCCAAGCTTATCAATTGAGCGATTTTTGTTAGTTCATAGTAACCTGTGCTTCACCATTGCTAACCTTGTTATGGCCAGTATTGAGCGCTTCTCTGTGATTGTCATCACGCCTCATGAGTCAAGTGCTGCGCACTTAATGATTCTTGAGCAACATAGGCATGCGCGCGGGGAGGGGCACGAGGGCTTCTAAAACCCCTTAGAAGGGGGTGAAAAGCTGGTTCCGAAACTTTGCGCTGTTCAACCGATAAAGAAGAACGTGGTGACTACGCCGATTTTTCATAATAGTGGCTGCCAGAGGCTCCTGCTGTTTCATTTCCACAACATCTTTACGGCCCGAAAGTCCAGGGACCGAAGTCAGACCATTGTGAGAAGCACGTCATCACTGCATTTTAATTATTTTTTTCTCATCCATTGTGAAGCATGTTGTTTCAACTCAACCAACCGGAGCGGGGGAGGGGGGATGGACGTTCACTCCTCCAATAACAAGGAACCCTGCGCACGCCTACATGGAGTATGAAATGGTTAGAGCTGGTTTCGACAATTACAATTCGCTTCGTCAAGGAAGCAAGAAGGACAACACTATGGGAACAGGACATCAGGGGCAGTTATTCACTGAACAAGAATAGGTCACTTGTTGAATTCTTGCCTTCATTTACATGTCCTATGTGTGTGTGCGTGTGTGTGCGCGCGCGCGTGTGTGTGTGTGTGTGTGTGTGTGTGTGCGTGCGTGCGTGCGTGCGTGTGTATGTGTGAGTGTGTGGTGTGTGTGTGTGGTGTGTGGTGTGTGTGTGTGTGTGTGTGTGTGTGTGTGTGTGTGTGTGTGTGTGTGTGTGGGTGGGTGGGTGGTTGGTGGGTGGGTGTTTCGTGTTAACCAAAGGGACTTCGTTCTGGATTTGCCAGAGATAAGTGACGCATCCTTAGTTACGAAATAACTTTAAAAGCTTGGAGACGAGCATAATTCTTGACTTGGGCCCTTAGTAGTGGCCCTCACCTCTTGTCGTTCTTGTACATTGGTGTATTCCAAGGGTTAACCTGGCGTTTCGTAGAGCCGCCGAAGGGGATCCCTGAGGTACGTGGCTGAGATGCGCTCCACCTGGAGCTTCCAAAAATGGCAGCTGCTCAAAAGAAAATCGTCTTGTGTTTCAATGAAGTACTTCCACTAATTCTGTTTGTTTATATCGACGGCTAATTGACATTGACCCTTATATTAAGCAAACGCATTTTCCAGTATCATAAGTATCCAGTATAACTCTGAACTTGAACCAGAACAACCGAAATCATACCACTTTTCATTTTTTACGAGATATTTTCTGAATGTCTGAAAAACCGGAAGTAAGAGTTGAAGCAAAAATGTCTGAAAGAGGAAAAAAAGGTGTCCCTCAGTGCCCGTAGCACCAATGAACACTGCTTACGAACGAAAGACACAATAGATGTCACACTAAGAAACGGTCATGCACAAGTGTTGCTTGATATTGTTCTCGGGGCCAGAGGAAACCAGAAACGCCCTTAAACGGGACCTGCAGTAACTGCGGGTGTCCCCAGCAACCCCCAACTTTTGCGCAGTGTGCACACGGGCACCATCTAAAACTCTCTGCTTTTTACATTGACCTTACGCGCTCTGAAAGCCTCGAGTCGGGCTGGCTTCCCACGAAAACGGGCGTATCTTCCCACGCGTAAGCCCACTGGCACCGCACTTTGCCAGACGCATCCCGTGCCGACGATAATTGCCCATATGGCACGGGGTGGAGGAGTTCGAGGCGCCGCAGCCGCGAAATTGAGGGCGGAGAGGCCGACCATTTCGTGAGCTTAACTCTCCCATAACTACGTATACACTCTCGGTGTACTAATCAGCATACGTATGCATCTCACGGGAGATGATGACGCAGAAGTCAAATGAACCAAGGCGAGGCGGTCAGAGAAGGCACCTGGCACACAACCACGAACTAATCGCACGTAATAACGAATAAGCTAACAATATATAGCAGCCCACGCATTGTACCTGAAACGGTAAGTATTAATAACGTTATACCCCCATTTGAATAGTATACTATCACTGTTGTGAAAATGCATATTTCAATTTGTCTTCCTTCCTGTCGATACTAAAATCGATTTTTTTTCATGTTTACGATGCAGGGTAGGGCGGGGCAAAATACGACAAATATGTTAAAATAGTGATTATTTATTTTTATTTCACTCCTTAAAACCAAACATCAATGCAGAAACTTTCCTTTGGGTACAATGTATGCGTTACATAAACATTGACATATTGCCACCGTTCAAAACATTATCTTAAAAATAAATAAATAACGATCCAGATGTCTCAGTTTGCCCCAATTAGAGGGGCAAACAAGAGAGAGTGAAAAACAATTATTGCTTTGGTTTTCGCAGTGGAAATGCTTGAAATTCATTCTGTGGGTCCTTACGCAGTCTTAAGGAGCCCAGTCCTTGGACTCCACGCATTGAATCTTGACAGAACAAGGTCTTTTGTTGCTCCGAAACTCCTTGCAGATTAAACACCACCATTCCCTATTTGTGTCAATGTTGTCTTTTGTTGAAAGCTCGCACCTCATTGGGTAGTTCTATAATTGGGTGCTAAAGATGTTTTGACGCATCTTTTTCACCTCTTTTTTGCCGTTTTGGTGCAGGACTGCTCAGGCGTTTCAGGGCTTTTATCTTCATCCCGCTGGGCTTTGTGAGGCAACGAAATTAGTTTAGATTGAGATTTTTTACCAATGCACTTTTTTTGTTCAACTAGGGTATTATAAAAACGTCGTTGAAACTCGATCTTAAGACGTGTTCGTGAAGGACTTGACTTGCACATTCCGCCATTTTTTATGCATCTCTTGAGAGCATCCTTGGGAACATGACAAAACCTAAATGCAGCACGAATGAAGGGAGCCGTGTCCTGAATGGCGCTCAGTGCTTCTTCGAGTCGTTTTCTTCCAAGGAAACTCGATATAATATTCTAGTGTATGTCGAAATCCTCCTAAACAAAGAAATACAATCTATATCGAGTGTAAATAATGGTTCCTGCAATAAGACACTCTCTAAGCCAATTGGATGCCTTTTTTGTCGCGTTTTCTCCTTCTAACATGCCAGAATTAAAAAAAAAATCCTCTTTGTCCCAGGGCCCAAAACGAACTAAACTTGTGGGTTATGTAGCTCGTAGCCTAAACATATTTACGTTGCTGTACTTACGCAGGAGTGGCTTGATACACGGATCCGAAAATTTGGCCGAGCAGAATTTCGTCCCTTTTTGACGGGTCACGAAAACAGTGACAGCAGCCGCGTAATTTTTCCGCCGCAAACGCTGGAAACAAACAACTTTAACACATGAAAGAGTAAACAGGGACCATGCAGCACTTATCGCTGGGAAATAAAACAAAGAAAAGTACTTTTTGCATTATATACAGAGGCTGGCAAACTTAAAATGTCACGTTTCGCCCCGTGTCTAATTTTGCCCCACCCTACAGGTCCTCATTCAGTCTCCGACTCCAGACCTCCCACTCTATAATGAATTACAATAACTCTCATTCATGATTATGAAATTTCTTAATTCTAAAAGCAAAGACCTTTCTTGGTGCAGTACACGTAACGGAATCTAGTACGATTATATGACTTTCTGTATTGTTATCTATGAGCGCCAGTATTAAAAAACAGAAAAAAACGAACGTCTACCAACTCTGCAGCTTCTGAATGCTAACATGAAGAGCCAATGTATAGGTATGCCGTAAAGTCAAATTATGCTTTTTTTTTACTGCACGCAACACTACAGGCTTCTTAGTCCGTAGTGTCAAATGTGTGACCGATAAACTAACTAGCATCGACGACACTGGCCACATTAAACATACTTGCAGGACGGAGTGCTTTGCAATGTAAACGTGTGGAACCAAAGCGTGATCATCTACTCGAGAACAAGAAAAATAGTGCATGGATGTAGCCTGCTTCTACTTAATGTTTAGAAGAAAAATTATGTACACTATGTACAGAGCACAAATTTTGCGCGGCAAATCTGTATAGTATATTCACTTTTTGCAGCAGCATCCATATAAGTAAGCCTATGCTTAGATACGAGATTGGCATTCTTGGATAAAAGTTAAGCTGGTTGCAGCGATAACTAAGTGGTTCTTCTGGTCGGCCTGTACATGCGTTTTGTATTAATTAATCAATAATTGAAATGATAGAACTTGACACACAATGCACTGGCCAAAAACATTTTATTCAACACTTAAAATAAGAAATTTCGGGGTGCTATAAATTTGCATGTTTTATACCACACCACACAATGCTGGGCCTTGTGCTGTGAAGATAAAATTTAAGTATGTGGCTAGAAGTCTGGGTTCTGACAGTGGCTTTTAAATATTGCAGAGTGTCGCCTGCCAAAGCCGTTAAGAGTTCTTTTTAGTCCTTTGTCCCGCACGATGTCATTTAGAAAATCCTGATTTTCAGTCAGCAAGCTAACTGACCACCTTCAAGACAGAACTCGGCCCCTGGAAAACCGGCTGCCCCCTGAATCACTATCATCGCTTGCGACACGTATGGACAGAGTGATCACTGCGAAATAGTCTTTATTGAATAAGCCGTAATTAAAACAAGCTGGTATCTTATAGCCGACCCCAGTATAGTTATGATAAATTTTATTTAGAAGATGCGCATCGGCGGTTGTTGCAATGCTCGTTAATGCTCGTAGATTACAGACTTCAGCAGCATCACCTTCCAGCTATTCAAGTTCCTGGACATTAAGCATTTGGTAACAAACTGTTCAGCTCCGTTCATTGCCGCGGGTCTTGTTTATACTGGGCACCTGTTGACCAACGCGGCTAAGCATGAGGCAAACGTTAAGGCATCAGTACACACAGGACGAAGAAAAAACATGGAGAGCTTGAGTTTTCTCGTTTCTTCTTCTATATCATAGACATTATAGTGTCTATATGTGCTTCAGGTCATGTCTATAGATGCAGATGTTCCAACTCGCATAACAAGCTGCCGTAACCAGTTGGCAAGTTATTCTGTTGTTGCATTCTGACGTTTAACTGCTTTCTCGTGATCTTTTCATCACAATATGTCGCCAGTGCTACCGAAAGCACGCTAATCGTATACTTTGTAAACAAGCGTCTTCAGCTCTCTACGAGGTATGATAAACAACAATTACCACGGCAGTCTCAGGAGCAGTCGCCAGCAACGCAAAATCACAAGACGGCCAGCCGTCAAGACGTGTATTATTAATGAATTTAGTGCATAGATCCCTCGCACCACTTCTGAATAATAGCGTACCTTCGCAGAGCCCATATCTTTTCAATTACCAGGCCCACAAAGAAAATATTAAACCTGAATTTCCACATGATATCCGTCCACATTCGTGTTAAGGCGTCACGGCATCAGCACAGCAGTAAGGCAGCCAAGGCAGTAGCGACACACAGAAGCAGTAACGCAGTCAACGGTGTCGCACGCGACACAGCCGACGAGAACGAGATGCGGACATCGTACACCACGGCAGCACCCGGAGACTCGAACAGGAGCGAATTTGAAGGTGCGGACACCATGGGCGTCGGCGTTGATGTCTGTGTCAGCGGTGATGGCGACGACGGCCACTGGCGGGTCACCAGGGGTTTTCCCGAGCGCAAGGTGTAGCCTTTCTTGTCGTGGTCTTCTTCGTCGAAAGAAGAGCTAGTCGGCAGACAAGAGGAGGCCCACACCTGCGCCGTCACATTGGCGCCGTTCGTCAGCGCTATGTAGAAGCAGCCACCGTTGATCTGCACCTTGTCCGTGTCCTGTCCCCAGCCCAGAGCCAAACTTCCTACACGGCTCAGATCAACCTTGGCTTCCACCAGGTCCCACTTGTCCGGCATCAGGAGTCTGGCTCCAGGTCCGGCTAACACGACCGCGCGCTTGCCCGCTAGCGCCCTGTTTTGGCAGGAGTACCCTATGCCCAGTGACCATTCCGGCAGTGGGCCGTCGTCGACGTGATGATTGTGCGGAGTAGGTGACGATACGAGGGCTTTAGCGCGGTCGAAGTCTTCTTTCTGGTCAGATGGCAGGTCGTAGTACACGGCCGTCAAAGGAAGAAGGCCCCGTAGCTTCATCAGAGCTTTCGTGCTCCACGGATCCCGCGGTGAAGACCAGACGGTCAGCGTCGAGCCAGGGATGAGGTCCAGCAGCCACAGTAGCTGTGGCGTCGACGCGGCGAGCATGGAGGCTCGCACGGGAAAGGTGACCCGCGGAACCCGGTACGGTCCGCAGACCAGGAGCCGAGCCATGGCTTCGACGTGAGCCCAACTGTACGATGACATGGGACGCGTGGTCCAGCCGAGCGACAGGGTGGCCTGTGGGAAGCGGCTGGTGCACAGCTGCAGGAAGTGCTGCGCATCCACGTCGGGCCTGCCACCTGGTCCTTCGACGATGTCAGCATTCAGCCACAGGTCACGCAAGTTCTGCGAATGAAAACAGCGACTTTTTTTATTCTTACTTCAAAAATGAATTATATGTCTGCCGGGGCAGCGCGCAGAGACAAAGGCCGAAAACGCGTCCACCTGGGTGAAGACGATCGAAGCAGCCGACAGGTGCACCGCGAATTGCCGTAAGCATTTGACCCCTTCATACTGGTCTTCTACCGCCCTTGCACCATGTCATATCTTGCCGTCAGAGGCAATGTATCAAATTGTGAAAATAAATGTATGGGGGAATTATTGAAAGCACGGCCGTACGCTAGGACACAGAAATCGCTTTAAGGTACGCCGTGATAGTTAGTTCTGTATCTCTTTATTTGTTCGCGCGGCCCCCTCCGCGGTGGTCTAGTGGATAAGGTACTCGGCTGCCGACCCGCAGGTCGCGGGATCAAATCCTGGCTGCGGCGACTGCATTTTCGATGGAGGCGAAAATGCTGTACCATGTGCTCAGATTTCGATGCACGTTCAAGAACACCAGGTGGTCTAAATTTCCGAAGCCCTCCACTACGAAGTGTCTCATAATCATATGGTGGTGTGGAGATCTATCTATCTATCTATCTATCTATCTATCTATCTATCTATCTATCTATCTATCTATCTATCTATCTATCTATCTATCTATCTATCTATCTATCTATCTATCTATCTATCTATCTATCTATCTATCTATCTATCTATCTATCTATCTATCTATCTATCTATCTATCTATCTATCTATCTATCTATCTATCTATCTATCTATCTATCTATCTATCTATCTATCTATCTATCTATCTAAACACACAAACACACGTACACGGAGGGAGAGACAGAAAGAAGGCGAACGGCAGCACCTGTTTAAGTGCGCGTAGGTGCAGAAAGTAAATAAAAAAATGAATGTGCGTCCAATTGCCCAAAATGGGGGCGTGTCACTTTGACTATTCACCGAAATGGCACAAGGAAGTCACGTGCTGTGGATTGAATGATGAAACACGAACACTTTGATTACTTCGCTACAAGTTGTGGACATATTCCGTTGGCTCTCGGTGAGGTGCCCTTGCGTGTGCTCAGACACTTCGAGATAACATTGTCCTAGAGACACTTGTCATTCTGTAGCAAAGGAAACCAATGCCTAGCTTACACTTTCTTGCAGCTTTGTTCCTAGCAAAGACAATCGCTGTAACCTAATCCTAACCTAATCCATATTGCTGTGAATGAAGCCCATATGTTTAGCAGATGTGCTATATATATATATATATATATATATATATATATATATATATATATATACATTCGTATTTTATCGCGGGGCCTGTATATTGACGGCACCACCTTCGGCAACCTCTTGTTTCCGTCTTCTGTTGCTGTTTGATGTCGCCCGAGTTTTCTCCAAGTTTTCCGTGCATGCACCGGTATTTTGCGACGGTGAAAGTGCTAAAAGGACATGGCGCACAAACTATGCGTATGTACACATGCTGCCGATTCGAAGGCGGCGTGTTAGATCTCAGCCGTGGCAGTCACATTTCGATGGAGGCGTAGTGCCAGAGGCCTGTGTTGTGTTCAATGTCATCATCATCGTCATCAGCCTGACTACGTCCGCTGCAGGACAAAGGCCTCTCCCATGTTCCGCCAGTTAACCCGGTCCTCTGCTTGCTGCTGCCAATTTATACCCGCAAACTTCTTAATCTCGTCTGCCCACCTAACCTTCTGTCTCCCCCTAACCCGCTTCCCTTCTCGGGGAATCCAGTTAGTTACCCTTAATGACCAGCGGTTATCCTGTCTACGCGCTACATGCCCGGCCCATGTCCATTTCCTCTTCTTGATTTCAACTATGATATGTCGGTGTGTTCAATGTCGGTGCACGTTAAAGAACAGCGGGAGGTCTAAATTTCCAGAGGCCTCCGCTATGGCGTGCTTGATAATCATATCGTTCTTTTGGCACGTGAAACGCCCGATATTATTACGCAAAGCGTACAAACCCTGAGCTACAAATATGCGTATCTTTTACGAGAAACCGTCATGAGGCGATATAGGTAACTGCAATGGCACTTCTATCTATTTTTTTTATGAGCGTCTGATGTGCATGACTATATGTTTATTCCTACTTTAACGATGCGCATGTTTCGTTATCGGTAAGATATCTCTGCCCTTTTTTTTTGTGCGAAGCCCCCGCAATGCGATGCGCAGCCCAGTTAAATTGCTCGAATTTCCTAAATGTGGGCCGTTCTGCTTGAGGCGAAGTAACGTCACACACGTCATTTCTAGGTTTAGGTTAGGAATTGCTTGGTTGTAAGATTGGAAGGACAGTAGCGTACACGTGGTCGATTACGTTTTAGTGTAAGTGATCACGTCACTTTTGTGAAGCGATCATCTGTACAAATGCACTTACACTGCGCAATGAAGCGATTGTTACTGTAATAGGTTACTTCCTCCCCCATTTCAGTCCACTCGGACATATGTAGACATCACTTGCTGTATTGATTGATTGATTGATTGATTGATTGATTTGTGGAGTTTAACGTCCCAAAACCACCATTTGATTATGAGAGACGCCGTAGTGGAAGGCTCCGGAAATTTTGACCACCTGGGGTTCTTTAACGTGCACCCAACTCTGAGTACACGGGCCTACAACATTTCCGCCTCCATCGGAAATGCAGCCGCCGCAGCCGGGAATCGAACCCGTGACCTGCGGGTCAGCAGCCGAGTACCTTAGCCACTAAACCACCGCGGCGGGGTCACTTGCTGTATTCGTAGAGCTATATGATTCAGGGTAATCAAAGGCATTAAGGAACGTGGGACTGGCACCAAGCTATGTGGAACGCACATGAAAGTGTCGGCCTCCATTATATAGTGTCGCGACCAGCTGCAACCATCATAATAACGACCCGATACCACAATGTATAGCTTCAATTCATCCTGAACCCAAACGTTACATCACACATATAATACAACCACGCACACCGTGCGAAATGTTTTAAGGGCAATTCTGCGTCACAATGAAACTAAAAAATGTATCACTATGCCCCTGCATGAATGATACCTTTGATATGTGCAGCATGAAAACGCACCTAAAAAAAAACGTTGGACCTTGTCGTCTTACCATATGCAAGCCATCATTTATCACCGTGCATTTGATCATCGTAAGTACTGCCTACATAAATATATAACGACTGCCTTGTTCTAAACGATAACGGCAAGGCGTGGATCACGCTTTTATACGATTGACAAAATAACATTTGATTGATTGATATGTGGGGTTTAACGTCCCAAAACCACCATATGATTATGAGAGACGCCGTAGTGGAGGGCTCCGGAAATTTCGACCACCTGGGGTTCTTCAACGTGCACCCAAATCTGAGCACACGGGCCTACAACATTTACGCCTCCATCGGAAATGCAGCCGCCACAGCCGGGATTTGAACCCGCGACCTGCGGGTCAGCAGCCGAGTACCTTAGCCACTAGACCACCGTGGCGGAGGACAAAATAACATTTCACCCGATTCTATTCACACTTTGGGTCCTGAATGTAGCTGCGTTAGTCTACTTAGCGCAATAAAGAAATATAATAATGTTACCGCACAGCCGTCGAGAACTAGTTTTGCTGTTATACTCTGTGTACAGTAAGCACATCGTGTCCCACACGCGTGTTAACGTTGCCGGTTACTCTACAGTTTTATTTTTTACTCACTTATAACAAACTTAGTAGATTAAGCTGGTGAGTTAAGCATAAAACTGAAAACAACCATGTTCTAAGAAGCATGCATCACCATCGGTTTATTCAAAGTGCTGCACGCGGTATGCGTACGGAGTCCTGATCCCATAATCCATATCGCTTGTGCAAAGAGGATTATGCATCGACAACCACCTGCGTAAACATGCGGCTTCACTTAAAGGCTTTGAGAACAGTCCACGTCAGCTATATACTCGTCGCCAAAAGTATCAATTGACCCGGTGAGTATACTAGGTACTTCTTCTCTGCTCTCTATCTTTCATCTCCCCCATCCCCCTTCCTTGCGCAGGGTAGAAAACTGGCTGCCTACAGGCTGGTAACCTACCTGCCGTTCTTTTCCTCCTATTTTCCTTCCTTCCTCATCTTTTTCTTGGCTGTACGCACCGCATTTGCAAATGAAGCATTCAGTCGTGAAGCATTAAGGCTCAGTGTGATTCGTCCTATGTTCACGTTGTTTGATATTTCTTCATTTGACTATGCTCATAGACAGACGAAACATTATTGAACACGATGTGTTGCCGGAGCTGACGTGTCCAATAGCAGACCTTTCTTCAAGGCTGCAACCTTGAAGACAGGTCCGCAAGTCGACAACGTTGATTCCGGCAACACCCCGTACCCAGTAATTTTTCATGACTTCAGGATTCCACATTCATCTGAACTACTGCTTTTTCAGACACAGAGATAGTACTGAATGATTTACGTTGTTGTTGATGCATATTTGTAGCACGGAGGTATTCAGGTAAAGCGTCATCGCTCTGCTTCACAAAGGACCAGTAAGCAGCACAGATATAAGGGCATACCTAAGTCTGAGCGCTACATACAAGCCGACAAGTTACATGTACGAGCTCTGTCCTGCGTGTAAGCGCGATGACCGCATGGTCTACAATAGCGCGAAATTTCACAACGAAAGCTTCGCAATTATAGAAACGCTGCGGCGACCCGCACACGTACCTCGAGGGGCGCGCTCTCCATGTCCAGGAAGGCGCTCTCCAGCACTTCGCTCGCCTTGAAGTCCAGCTTTAGCGTCACGTTGCGCGGCGTGCCACACACGATGCGCAGGAACTCGCGCAGGCTCAGGTCCCACGAGCGCACGGGCGGGTGCGCCATCACGGCCATACCGTCGGCCTGGCTCACGTCCGCCTCCACGTACGGAGCCGTGCGGCCGCTGAGCGCCTGTTCCAGCTTCCACCGACTGTTGGTGCCATGCGACCACTCGATGAGGGACACGTCTTCTCCGGCCACACGTGCCGCACCGTACGCTGACGCGACTCCATGGGGTGCCGCGATGCAGAGCAGCAGGAACAGCGAGATGGGCGCGAAGAAGTCGAAACGAGACGTCGACAGTTTGGCGACCAACCTCCGTGGTCCTCCGGGTATCGCCGGAGTCGTCGTCCTCCCGATTCGTTCCATGGTTGGCGTTGTTCTTCTATGTGCCACGATCAACGCCACGGCCGGTATAACACGCGCGCGGTTTCGTTCGCTGCTCGTCGCGTCCGTCCGTCACTCAAGGCGCGCGCGGCTCACAGGAAGCGTGGGACGGTCGGGGGCTCGCACTCGCGGTTGTCGCGCTGCAGAGGAGGACAACGCAACGCAAGGCCAATATGGAAGAGGAGAGGTGTCGCGCGTCGAGGGCCTTCTCTCGCGTTTGTCGCGCGTCACACTATAGCAGGGCGACGCTCGGGGAGCTTCTGCGCCGCCACAGATCGCGCCGGCGCCGCGGTCCGCGCTAAATTGCCGCGCTGATGCCACTTTCCGTGACCCATATACACGTGTCACTTCTTGGTGCTGTCGTCTATACGCGCTCGCCTGCTGGGAAGGGTAGTAGATAGCACAGCGCTCGCGCGGGTGTCGCACTCCAACGACGACGCGCTCGCTTCCTCCGCATGCAACTGCGCGAAGCTTCGTCCTTCTTGGGCCGAAGCGCCGGATGCGCCGAAGCACGTCTTGGGAGATCGACGTCGGCTCGCGGTGTCTTGATCAGCTTCGAAGGCACGTCCGCTCGGGCTTGCTGTACGTGTTTGAGGGAAGGGACGGAGGTTATATTACGTATACGGACTTCCCGACTGAAGACGTCGCCTTGACCTATGCTGGCTGGGTGCCCGCGTGCTTCGCCCTTCGCACAGTGCATGCAGCACTGGAGCGCTCTGTAATCTAATATGCTTTTCTAATCTAAATCAATTTGCATAAGTAGACTTTCGCGAAAGCTTGCTTGTGGAGGCATATCATCTGAGATTTCGAAAAACAGCGCGATTTTCATCGACAATACGTAGCCCTCATAGTGGTGACACTTGAACTAGACGTTTTAGTTCCAACTGCAAGAAAAAAGAAGGAAAAAACAACTGTTGAGAGTGAGGAAAGTTTGACGGTGCACGAAAAATGTACGCGGGTCGCAACACTTGAATGCTTTTTTAAATGTACGATTAGTGAAAGTTAAGTGCGGAGTGCATGTATGGAATTTCCGAATGCTGTGTTGTTTTCACGTATCCTGGCAGGAAATAGAATTTTCGAACCTACAGCTGCTTTCAAATACTCACTACTAAATTGTAAAAAAAAATCAACGCGTTCAGACTAATGTATACTTGAGATTTTCACAAAATATGCATGTCTCAAGCAATTAGTCTCATCAAAATGAGCACAGAGTTGGCTTGCACCTACGTCGCTGAAATGTTAGATCAACAACATGGAGCATCGGCCACTTTGGAGCACCAACGTTGTGGGATCTGAAGTTCGTGATGTCACGTTAGTGTTATCATTACACCGCAAACTAGTTGTTTCGTTCTTTAAAAAAACGCTATAATGACACCTTTATTGCGCGGAATCGAGTTAATAACACCCCGTGATTATGCTGCCATGCCATGGTGTCTTCTAAGCCACCATGTTGAAGCATCTGCAGTACTTTAAGAACCTGTGTTCATGGCGTTATGTGCTAGCTATCAAGAGCACAAACAGCAGCAGTCTGATCAGTGGCACAGATACAGAGGAAATAAACGAAAAAAAAAATACCTGATGGCAACGAAACGAAAACTGGCAGATATACATTTAGAGCGATCTATAACAGCGTAGTCTTATTGTCAGATATGTGAGATTTGAAGCAATAAATTCCATTTCATTCACCCCCAGCCATGATTAACTAATATATCATACTGGGCTTTTGTAAACTAAAGGGTTGGCGTCTATCATAGCCTGAGCCTATTTTCGACGTTAAATTCTTTACAACAGCTAAGTAAACAAAGAGACTTGTTCACAAAACACCATTCACAAAATATAACTACACATACGTCAGTGCGCTCTCAAATGTAGTGAATCAAATTGTCTCCTCATTTGAGATATCGATAATAGGCGGAACTCAATTGTGACTAGGCTTGAAGCTGATCTTGCTAAACTGCGCAAGAACATGCACAGCGTTGTCTCACATGATGCGCTTTATTGTGTTTCGAGTGTGAAACCCACACTATAGACCTACCGTCGCGCAACAATATACTTCTCCATGTTGTTCGAGGTATAGCGCATCCAGGACGGGACAGAGAAGAAGACACAGAACACATACACGGCGCTAACTATAAATACTTCTCCACTCTGCACACAGTCATATACAGCTGCTTCACTTTCAACGCACCAGGTGCGTGCACACAATACGCGGAAACAGTGCTCAACTCAGCGGTGACAACACAACCAAATGTCACCACGCACATGCAACAGCTGCGCCTTCGTTAACAAGTACCCCGCAGAGAACAATCCGAATAATTTCTTTATTTATACGTTACCGAAATACTGCACAATCGTAATACTCAGAATACGACTCACTGCTCGTAAAAAAAAAAAAAACTGTTTAACAAACAAACGAGCAAATGGAGCTCGTCTGAAACGTTTCTTGGCGCGTGCTCGACTCCCTTATACGCTTGCGTCTACACCATTCTGTTTCACTAACCAGATACGTTGTTCAACCTGCAGCGGATTCTTTTTTTTATTTGTGTATATATACGCGAATCGTTCACAAAACTTTAGGGACATAAGCGGCTGTCACTTGCAGAGAACGAGATGAAACGACTGCCGCGTTTTCGAGAGGAGAACAAGTCAACACACTATCAATCATACACTACCCGTCATATACTGTCAGTCATATCAGTCATATGCTGGTGAAAGCGCACAGGAAGACGACGAATTCCGGTGGTATCACGTGGAGCACTCAGCCAAGCGTCACAGTTACCGCGTGTTCGCGACGTCGTCCTCTCAATGCAACCGCAGTTCCGTGCCCGCCGGTCTCTTGACGAGCACCTGGAAGGTGTCCAAGGGCGTCGGCAGGGGTTCCCTAACGTCGCAAGCGTAAAGGCGCGACGCGTTGACCCGTACCACGGCTCCCAGTAGCAGCCTGCCGTCCGGAGGCAGCGGTCGGCTGCGACCCACCGGGGTCCCTCCGACGGTCACCTCGGCGAGGTCGGGCGACGACGGCGACCCGGACAGCTCGTCACTGGCGTTGCCCTTGGCGCCGCCGTCGCCTCTGAAGTCCACCCACTCGAACACTACGCCGCGCGACTCCACAAGGAACTCGAAGATGAGAGCCACCTATACATTTGTGTGCCAAATGATTTGAATGTAATCGAAACATGGTCCCAGGTACATAATTAAAAGAGCACTAATAAGAAATTTTTAAGTTTTATCAAGAAACAAAGGGGAGAAATTTGGCAGATCCCACGTACCATGATTGATATGTGGGGTTCAACGTCCCGAAACCAGCATATGATTATGAGAGACGCTGTATAGTGGAGGGCTCCGGAAAGTTCGGCTACTTGGGATTCCTTAACGTGCACCCAAATCTGATCACACGTGCCTACAACATTTCCGCCTGCATCGAAAATGCAGTGGCCGCAGCCGAGATTTGATCCCGCGACCTGCGGGTCAGCAGCCGAGCACCACCGCAGCGGGGCGATCCCACGTGCCTTCAGACTAGATGTTATGCGAAGTATGCGGACGGAAGATGACTGTGCTGTAATCTTCTTGTTGAGTAAAACATAGCGAAGTGGCCCTAAAGATATATGTACAGATGCGCGCACGGACATACGTTAAACAGCCGCATATGTTTTCTATCACCCGTTGTTTATAGCTGCGTAACGATGCCAACAGCAACACGGAGATTAGTAACACCAGAAGTGGTAAGCTGATATGAAGCGCAGGTGATCGCGAGGATAGTAACCCGGCCTGGACACTGCCTTTGTCTTTCCACCGCCGTAAAACTGTCTCTTTCTACCGCCGCGAAAATGGCGATGTAGGTACTCTGCAAATAAATAAATAAATAAATAAATAAATAAATAAATAAATAAATAAATAAATACCAATTTTCGCATATGTGAAGCTAGTGGAACGGCCGCGAGGGTATGATAAGCGTGGCATGTAGCCATGTTGTTACATGACTCGCATGTCGTGATATCATGTTTGGATGTGTCATTTACCTATATGTCGTCCGTTCGCGTCGCGTAATACCGAGTTTAGTACATGTGAAGGTAGCGAAATGACCGCGAGCGCATCATGTGCGTAGCATGTAGTCATGTTGTTACAAGACATGCATCTCGTGTTTTTCATGTTCGCACCAGTATCATACCTTCGTCATCCATTCACGTCCCGTAATACCAAATTTGGTATAAGTGAAGCTAGCGAGACGGCCGCCAGCGCATCATGAGCGTGTCATGTTGTCATGTTGTTACATGACACGCGTCTCATGATTATCATATTTGCACCAGTTCCATACCTTCGTCATTCATTCACGTACTGTAATACCAAAGACGCTAGCGAAACGGCCGCGAGGCCATCATGAGCGTGGCATGTAGTCATGTTGTTACATGACACGCATGTCATGATTTTCACGTTACGGTCTGTCGCTTGTGTTCGCCATACAATCATGCCATACTATACCAGTTTTGCAACATGCCATGTGAACGAAACCACCGCAAGAGCTGCAGAACCATGAATTGTAAATCATGACATTCATGACATCCATGTCATGATTTTCACGGTATGGCTAGTCAAATAAGTTCATCATATTCGTATCAATACCAAGTTTGGTATCGATACCATTATCGAAACGGTTAGGAGAGCTAAAAGTCGTAGGCGGCTAGATAGATAGATATATGCTCAAAGCCGCCGAATTTCGCCAAGAAATGCTTCGCATTTAAAATTTACTGTTCGCAGGTATAACGTGGCAACGGAAAGCGCAAGACCGGGTTGATTGGAGCATCATGGGAGAGGCCTCTGCCCTGCAGTTGGCGTAGTTAGGCTGATGATCATGACGATGAGTAAAAAAAAATTGGCAGATCCCACGTACCTGGGAATCGATGTAATGCGAAGCATGCGGAGGGAAGGTGACCGTGTTGCAATTTCTTCATTGAGCGACACGTCATTAAATGACGCTAAATATATATACAAATGGTGCACGCACAGACATATGTTGAAGAGTTGCAGATGTTTATATAGCCAGTTGTTCGCCCTTGCGTAACGATACCAAAAGGAACAGGCGCATTAGCAACACCAGAAGCTGATATCAAGAGCTGATGCTCGCGAGAATGCTGGCTCAGGACACTGCTACATAAATCAACTTTATCGCATGGCAACTAACCCCAATTGACGGTAACCCGACGTGACTGCCGTATCAAAGGAGTACATACGTAATGTTTAGAAAATTGGGTAGGCCGCACTGCACCCACTGTTGACGTTTCACGAAGATTATACATTTATTTGAAAAGTAATTCTGAGACCTAGCGTATATAGCTATGTGGTAATATGCCTCATTGCCACGCAGAATGCTTGGGTTCGAGTTCAGCTGGGAACCTGATATATATTCTTTCCATGCGTCTGGTCGCCGGCACCGATGGCTCATATTTCTTCACGCGTTGAAATTGCCCATGTGTGTTCTCATCGTTCCTGGGTAGATATGACGTGCCCATCACCTGGGGCACATACCCGCTCGTGGGTATGCGCCACTGTCTGGCGGGAAGTTTTTGACGACGTACGCGACGGGATTGTGACATTATTCGCGTCTTGACCAGCGTGTCATATTCGTGAAACCATCTTACCCTCCCGTGCTAATTTTGGTCCCCGCCAAGTTAAGAGGGTGACCACGAGAGCACACAAACGTAAGCGGCTAGATAGATAGAAACGCTCAAAGTCGCCGAAG